CTGTCCGTATGAACGCTGAGATCTCGGAAACTATAAAAGCTAGAAGATTGGCATTTTGCATGCAGATTCTGGGAGTTCCTACGCAGCGCAAGTTTATTTCAAAAAGGTGCCACGCCCCCTCTAACGCCCACTAGCCCTCTCTATCGCCCACAGTTTTGAAGCTATTATGAAAATAGTAACTGATATGTATTTGTTTCGTCAATACATATCGATTGGCCAAGTAAAAGTTTGCCACGCCCACTCTAACGCCCGCAAAACCCATTTAACGCTTAAACCTGTCTAGCGCCTACATTTCCGCCTTTCATGGCCAGTAGTACCAATATCTTGGGGTAGATGGCTCAATTCAATATACAATAGCGCCATCTATTCAGATGGTTAATTTGAACTTTTTGTCCTTTTTTTCTGTGGTCACACTAATTCACAATATGTTATTGCAAATTTTAAATTATTTGAAAAGGGCGCGCATTTTGTCTCTTTTTGCTCGTATTCGTTTTTCACAAGTGCATTCACCTGCGCTAGAGAGAGACGGAAGATGTGCTAGGCAGAATTGAAAGTTTTAGAAGGCCTCCACGTGGAGTTCCCTGGGTAAAAAACGGGAGCTAATTCCAGCTTCGAAAAACAAAAAAGGAGGCATATTTCTATTAAGTTGTTTAGCTGAGTAACGGGTATCTAATAGTCGAGGCACTCGATTATAGCGTTCTCTCTTGTTTTTTATAAAAAGGAAAGCTCTGCTTCTTTAACAATAAGCTAATAGGTTTGATTGTACAATTTTATTATCTGATATAAAAGATACAGCAATCTCAATTATAAATGTAACATTTTGCAGAGATGTAAAACATACATTTTCCATTTTCTGTGTTAATACTTTTATTCGGTTATATTCCTAATAAATTTTAATCGGGGGTATCACAGAAATCTGTCCCAAAGACGGTTGGTTTAGTGCATTGATTGAACTACGTAAGAAACACAACAGATTCTAGTTGGAAAAGAATTCTGTGACACCCTCGTATAGAAGATTATTTTGTATACAAATTTGTAGTATAACGGCAAAGAAGTAGTATTACAATTAATATTGGGTACTACAATTGTGAATGTATTGTTAATCGCCAGGCGAGTCATTTTAAATAAATATATTGTGAGTTAATTTATTATTACAAAATCGCAAATGGATCCTGGGAACTACAGCCAAGCTTCTATATTAGCAATACAAACTCTTCCGCCGAAATCTCACCCAATTTATTTATTTATTTGGCTTGTAGTTAGTTAGAGTTAGAAAAAAAATTTTTTGAATTTTTGTTAAACTTCGTATTTAGTAACTTTTAGTAGCCAATGCTAAAAATTTATTTTTTCGATAAACAAAAAATAATTTATTAATTTATTTTTTCCATAAACAAAAAATAGTTTATTGATTTATTTTTTCCATAAACAAAAAATAATTTATTGATCAAAAATCGCCGAAATTGTGATTACGTGGACATCCCCTAAGAACAATAACGGATTTCGGTTGGAAATAATTTCTGTGACACCCCGGATTAAAAACAATTTATGCAAAAAATAACAAATTCGAAATAGGTTCGGAGTTCCTGAGCGTTCTTGTAAGACTCAGCCTTTTTTAAGGTAAACTTCAAACGTGACAACAAAAAAATAAGTCTATGTATCTTCTTGTGCCTTGAGGTTATTATAGTGAAATTCTTCAAGGATTTCTCATAAGTAGTTAAAGTTCCAGACATCGAACTACATTCAGCCACAAAAAAATTAGAGTTATGGAGAACTTGAGTTATGGAGGTTCATAGCTTACATTTTTTGTTTCATCTGGTTCAAATCCGTTCTTGGTGGTCAACACCATAAAAGGACTTTTGTGAAAACATTAAAATGTTTTATTTATTAGGGTATGAGCTAAAAACAATATGTCAGTAAGAGCACATGTCAATATTCTTGGGTGATTGCAAATCTATTAATAGATATTATTTTGGTAAATGTATGCGGAAGAAATTCAGAATGGTTACTAAAGCTCAAAAAAATATGTTTTCTAGGGATGAAGTTCAGTTTAATCGGAACCAGAATTTGCAATGGAGGACACTCCATTATTATAATACAGCATGGCCGCGTGGGCTCGATTAATGTCACACATGCATAAGCAAGAAAGTATAAATGGTATGAATGAAATAATAAACCCATTAAGTGGAGAATTGCTGGTAATATGTACATTTGTAATTATATAAATTATGTAAAGTACATATTTATAAATAATCTCGTTGTGAAACTGACTGACAATGTAACTAGCGGTAATTTCATTATTTATAGCATGTAATTTGGCGGGCTGATTGAATTTTTGTAGATATTCAAAACTCGTTAATGGTTAATCAGAAGTGCTACCGTTGCCATATTCATATGTCCACTTAAATTAAAATATACAATTTTATTACAATGCTCAGCTTGGCTCCGCCCCAACAAATGTATTCCAGCAATGGCCAATCCCGTCCTAGGTTTTTTTCGTATAGACAAGCAGGGGAGCGAGATGTCAGATAGCGTCGTCGTCGTGCCATCCCGCTTTGGTGGTACTGCCTGCCGACTATCCGACGACTACTCTCACTCCATTCGGAATTCCTTGCCATGCCATACTATACCACACCATGCCGTATCCCATATAGATTCTCTCTCTTTGGGCCAGTTTGCCGCCCTTCAAGTGCTGCGCCGCATCGCTGTTAACCTTCGCTCACCGAGCACCTAATTATCGCTATGAACGGCACAATTATGGCCAAATGCGATTGTTATTTATAAAGAGATAAATTAAATAAATAAGTTCTTAATTAACTAAATATCCGGTATAGAGATTTTTCTTGTTCATAATAAAGCGAAAGGTTCGAGGTATTTTTTGGGTATTTAAAATAATTATTTATAGCTTGATTTACGAATATTTCAATAAGATATTTTATTTCAGAAAATTAGAGTTGTAATTCAAAAATGTCTGCCATTTTTCTTGTTTTACTTTTATAATACAGAAATAAATTATTTGAAACTACACAAAAACAGAATGAATACGTCAAGTGATTAAAATTCAATTATACCCCCAAGCATTTCTAACTACTGCTTAACTACTCATTTGTTTTCGCGCTACCCAGATATCGTTAATTTACACTTGGAAAATGGGAAGAATGCAGACTCATTAATAGCTAATGCGATTTAATACACCCATACGGCGGATTGCGATTTGCTGGTCTATCAGGCGCACTATTAAAGACAATTATCCATCCTAGTGTTAAATCGACTCTCGCAAAATCGCGCTGCAGTCCAAGACCAAGACCAGGCCCAAGCCCAAGCCGAAGTCCCAAGACCATAATGCCAAAACACAAAACACAGGCCCAAACCCACACGTTCGCCGAATGCGGTGGCAATGTGCTTTGGCTTTTACGTTCTGTGGAATCATGGCCGAGTCCCAAGCAGGCAAATTAACTAACAAGATTATGAAAACGTAAAATCAGTAAATCGGTAAAGTGGTTGTAATTTTCTTTTTCAACACCTCTCTCGCGCATTGGGCCGTTAGCCAGAGTCCCGGCCATGGCCAGAACCAGCTGCCGGGGCGGCTGCTCTTTTGTCCGGACCAGAGCGGAGCTCTGAGGCAACGGCGACGGCAAAGGAAAAGCTAAATAAAACCGACGAGATACTCCCCTGATACACGAAAAGAAATCATGTGGGTTGAATCTATCAAAGATCACCGAAAGAAATATATATCTACCGTATTTCAAAAGCTTTTAATATAGAATAAGTTGCGCCATCCCTAACTATTTCCATAACACTTCAGATACTTAGGAACAATCAACAAAGTGAAGGTTTTTTTTTTCTTTCTATTGCTTTGAAAGTTTTTCAAAAAAGTTTTTTTTTCGAAGTTTAAATAACAGAAATGGTAATAGAATAAGATACCATAAGATAAGATAATAAAGTCTAAATCTAAAAATGTGAATCATTTTTGACACAATAAATGCTTGAATAGAAAATGGAAAATTCTTCTCTATAAAATGTAAAAAATTCCTGATATCAAACCTAAAAGGCTTTTAAGAAATATAAAAGTGACTGATTTAAAAAATTTAAAATAATAGTTGTATAAAAACTGTGCAATGGTTTTAATTAGGTATTTAAGGTGTATAGAACAAATTAAGTAAGTTATGATTAAAAAAAAACCTATTACGAAAAGCTATTTAAAGAGGTTTTTGATAAAATTGGTTACGGATAGCTGAATACACTAAATGGTTAAATTTCTATAAGCTTTAGGACCGTATCTCTACATTTGAAATAGGACTTATAGGGTTTTTCATGGTATAAGACCCTTTTCCCTCGTTAAAACTTAAAAGCCCATTTCTAGAAAAAGCCTAGATTTCTGCCAGTGTAGTCGCCGCAACCACCGGCGGGGCATTAGCTCTTCGCCAGAGCGGCGTAGTGCGGTCTGGTCAGACTGGTTTATTCGTTTAGTAAATCTCAGACTCTTTGCTTTGGCTCTCCTCGCCGCTTTGAAGTTTCGCCGTGGCGGAGGGATGATGCATGTTCGCATCGCGGTGATTGGGAGAGAGCACGGGGGCAATGATGTGAGTGATTATATTTTGATTGCATTGCTCACTGTGGTTGGTTCGTACGAACGGACGGGGACGGGGAGGGGATGGGATGGGAGGATTGAGGAAGGAGGTTTGAGGAGGTATGGGGACTACTATACCACGGACGGCATTGCTCACTTAGTACAATAACCGGCACGTCGTCTGCCAGTCTGCTGAAACAGTAATTTTTTGTGTGCCGTGTTCTTCGTTTGTTGTCGTTTGTTTTGTTCCCGCTCTATCGCTATCTTCGCCCCAAGTTCGCTCTGGCTTTATAGCCCCCCCAATGCCGAACTATAGCCACTACCACTCACGTATTCGTATTCAGCTTTTGATGGTAATTTGCCAGGCGGGCAGAAAGGCTGGAAGGTAGAGGAGGCAACCTCAGTGAGAGTGCTTTTTACATCCAGTGCTAAAGCCAGTGTCGTCGCCGGAGCTGGAGCTTATAACGAGCGTAGTTCTTGCGCAGAGTTTATTGCCGACAGTTGGCGCGATCTTGTTTGCCGTCGCCGTCGCCATCTCGCTATCCCCATATCATATCGTCATGTCGTATCGCCACCGTGCCCCCATTGGGTGTTTAGTTCCAGTTCCAGTTCCTCTGCCTGAGTCCCTCCGACGGCATTCGGCACTCTTCCTAAATAGCCTTAGGATTTAGGATATTTTAGTTCGGAAATATAAATATTATCAAGTGCTTTCGAGGATAGTGCAACTCATAAAACTTACCCCACAAATATGTAACACTGTGTGATGTGTTAGAAAAATAATTATAATAATGCCCAGGCCCTCGCGAGAATCCTACGGCGAACAGAAGCCCCCCTATTCGTACATTTCGCTGACGGCCATGGCCATCTGGAGTTCGCCGGAGAAAATGCTGCCACTGAGCGATATATACAAGTTTATCACGGACCGATTTCCGTACTACCGCAAGAACACCCAGCGCTGGCAGAATTCGCTGAGGCACAACCTCAGCTTCAACGACTGCTTCATCAAGGTGCCCCGACGGCCGGACAGACCAGGAAAAGGAGCCTACTGGGCCCTCCATCCGCAGGCCTTCGATATGTTCGAAAACGGCAGTCTGCTGCGGCGCAGGAAGCGCTTCAAGCTGCACAAGAACGACAAGGATCTGCTGAACGAAGAGCTAACGGCGCTGGCGAACCTCAATAGGTTCTTCTTTACCACCCGGAACGGAGGCAGTGCCTCGCATATGTCGCCGCTGGACATGAACAGTCCGTCGATGAGGCTGGATCCTCTGCCCAGGGCAACGAATCATATGGGTCACGCGAATTCTTTGGGTCCTGCAGCCGTGGGACTGCCGCATGTAATGCCCACCTCCATGGATCACACGAATCTCTCGGACATGGGCCTCTCGCAACTGCCCGCGCTAACCACTTCCGATATCGAGGGACCCCTGAGCCTGCGACCCAAGCGATCCTTCACGATAGAGAGCCTGATTACACCCGACAAGCCGGAGGAGCAGCCGTCGGAGGAGGAGGACGACGACGATGATCGGGTCGATATCGATGTGGTGGAGTGCAGTGGAATCAGTCGGTATCCCAGCACGCCGGCACCCGAGGAGTACCACCGATCCGGAAGGACCGAAGATCCCCTGCCGCCGATGCACACGATAAACGCCGGAGCCCATTCCATGCCCTTCCTGCACTACGCCGCCACGGGTGCCGCCAATGTGGCCGGACTGCAGGCCTCGGGGATTCCCAGCAGCCCCACCACCTACGAACTGGCCATCTCGCATCCGCTCTTCATGATGGCGGCGCCCATTGCCAATATGCACAATATATACTACAATAATGTCACTCTCGTCGCCCCGGCGCAGCAATATCGGACACCCGAGGTCCAGAATAGAATAGACAACGATATGCGTACGATATAGAGTATAATGGATCGGGCGAAACGGAAGACACAGACACCTATGTATAGCATTATTTATGAACGATATATATATGGATATCCATCCAAACGTAGTTCCTTTTGTATTAAGGTTAATTGTAATAGGACCAAAACATATGGTATACATTCTTAGGAGTAGAAGGCATGTAAATAAAGGCTTGTTATACAAATTTTAATAGCTTGTATTACATATCCGTACTAGTAAATTATTTATTTTATTTGTATCAAACTTAGTGCATAAATCGATCATTTTGTGAAGAATATAAACGTTTAAATAACTGATAACCCATGTTTTTTTTAAATATGTTAAATATTATAACTGGTATCCATTGATATTATAAGCGTAAGTAAAGATATAGATCAACAAACAGACAAATTATGAAATAGTGAAGAAAACGAATTTAAAGAACCTATTTATTAATGATAATTTCCAAATGGCTGAGCTAAGAGAAAGTTTTTATTAATTTAGGATTTTTAATTTACAATGCATGGCATTTTCCACATTTGCCCCAGAAAATGGCTACATTTTACAATTTATAAAAGAAAATTACTCGCCCTTCATGTTATTTTATCTTAAAACAACAAGTGATAAGTGATGGTGATTAAGAATACACACAAATTAGTGTATGATTGAAGAATTTAATACTGCTATCAGAGTTGCCCTTAACCGTAAAAAAAGATTGAAAACAGCACAAAACAGGATAAAAAGTTTAAGTTTAGAAATTTTATTTATGGATTTACTGTGAGTTTTTGGCAACTATAAATTAAACCTAAGCAATTTTTTTATATTTAGCTTTGAGGTGTTTTGATAGAAGAAGGTGATTTAGAGAAAAATTAATATTCTTGCTCTAAGTTCAATTGAACAATTCCTAATATTTTGGAAGATATTTAATAAACAAGATTTAGAATCGACCGGATCTTCCGGGGTACATCAGTTAGACATGTTAGTTACCTTAAATTTAAATTTATGCGAACGATTAAGAAAAAGATTTTTCTGATTATAAAGGTATATTATTTTCGTACTTTTAAAACTTTACTTAAGTTTGGTATAGCGCAATATATATTTATTTGCCCTTTTAATGCTACTACGATTTTGAAAGAACTTATTGTTTCAATTTGAATAATTTCGGCATATAGAAAGGTATTATCAATTAAAATAAATTTGTGGGTGTTAGACTGGACGGGGCAAAGCATTGATAAAACTTGCGCAGCTGAGGCGAGTTTTATTAAGTCCCAACTCGTCATCTCTTATAGTTTCCGAAGCATCGACTTTTATACGGACGGACGGACATGGCTCGGTCGAGATGGGTACAAATCCTCATCGGATGGGACTCTTATTTTGAACTTTTTCTTATTTTCCTCCTTAACTCTGAGAATGGCAATATATTTTCGGACAATAGGATTACAACCTTTTTCGGGACAGATCTGTACTAAATGAAAATATTTTTTAAAGAATGCCTATCATTTTTTTTTAATAATTGGAAGTAAATTATAAATTTTTAAACTTGACTAATTAGTTACTTTTATAGTATTTTTATGCCTTTCGAAATTTAAAAAAAAAGGCCATTTGGAACGTACAATACAATTTTTTAAAACTTTTAAAATTTAATACAAATTTGTAGGCACGTTTAATTGTAGAGGATTCTAAGCATTTTCGTCCTTCTAACTATAGTTACTATAAAAATATCCCAAATTAAACCTGGTTAGACCTTTGAGAAAAGAAAATTAATTAAAATTGTATCAAAGGGTATCAACGTTCTTGTATCGAATGTATCTTGGCTTATACTTAATTCCCTTTGTTAGTCTCTAATAACAAATCACCCTAATTTTCTAGAAGTATCACCATATAACCATTTGCGTCTGGGGATAATTTTTCGGAACGCGTCGGTCCTTCCTTTCTTGTTGCAATAAACACATGTCTGTATTTAACAAGCAAGACGCGTGAAATTTAAAACACTTTCAGGTTATTAACATAAAGGGAGCAATAATAATAAGGAGAGAAGAGAACAAGGCTTAATGAATACAACAGCTGAGTTATTTGGTCATAAATACACACATACACTCAATCGCTTGGAGCCGTTTAAAATTTCTTAGCCTCCTTATTAGCCTTCCTTCTAGTCGTTCTTCCATTCGATATTCGTTTACCTGTACCTCATATTTATAACAAAAGTAACGAGATATTATTTTTGATTGTATCGTTCTACAGGATACATACAACAATAAATATTAACTATATTGCAAACAACTTTCTTAGCTTAAAAAAAACATTTTAAACTAGACCAACCATTGCGATAAAGTTGTAAAATATTTAAAAGGTACAAAATAAGAATTATTTGCTGAGAAACATTTATATAAACAAGAAAGGAAGTTAACTTTAGCCAGCCGAAGTTTATGTACCCCTGAAGGTATGCCTATTTAAAATGTTGTTATACCCTTGCAGAGGGTATTATGATTTCAGTCAGAAGTCAGTGCAACGCAGTGAAAGAGAGTCGATCTAGCCATGTCCGTATGTCCGTCCGTCTGTTTGTCCGTTTCTACGCAAACTAGTCTTTCAGTTTTGAAGCTAACGGGTTGAGACTCTCCCAAAAGTCTTCTTTGCAGTCTTTCTATTAAGTCGGAACCAGCCGGATCGAACAACTATATCCTATAGCTCCCATAGGAATAATCGGAAAAATATTGGAAAAAATCTAGCTTCGGTGTTTTGTAAACAATGATTTTTAAATATTTCTAAATTTCGGATACAATTTTAAAAAAATCGGACGACTATATCATGTCAAAAATCAAAACACCTACTTGTTCCGACATATGTAAGTACTACCTGCAATAGAAAGAAGACTTTTGGGAAGGTTTCATAGCTTTAAAACTGAGAGACTAGTTCGCACAAAAACGGACAGACGGACATGGCTAGATGAACTCGGCTATTGGTGCTGATCATGAATATATACTTTATGTGGTCGGAAACGTATCCTTCAATGCGTTGCAAACTTTTGACTGAAATTATGATACCATCTGCAAGGGTATAAAATCAGAATCGAAATTGGTCGCAGAAATAAAATTAATTTGATAGCTATTTTTGGAAAGAAGAATATTTTGTCCCAGGCGCAAAAACAGTTGAAGGCATAAAATGAGCATTCGCAAGGTTTAATCTTTCTTTGTCCTCTTTTTCTGAACGTGAAATAAATAAGAAAATAAGCTTAATATGAAGCAGGAAGTTTGCAGCTAAATTAACATCAGTTTACAAAATTCAATTGACATAATACTTGACAAATCAACACATACAAAAGTTAAAAACGATGCGGCTTTAATTAACTAATTTCTATTAAATTAAATCTTTGGTGGCCAAAATTGGACCATTAGAACTCTTAAAAAAATAAAATAAAAGAGTAAAATACGGGTACGTGTCCTTTTATTCTTTATCGGAATGACTAATTTAGATCTGTGGAGTATTTTGTCGCTAACAAAAAATTAATGAAATGAAATTGTTTTTATTTATTATAGGTATTATTGGTATTCAGAATGAATTATCCTAGCACAACAATAGGTTCATTTATCGCCAAAAATACCAACATGATACCCAAATAAAAAAACGCCAGTCGAATCTTTTGGCTTTGCCAATTCTTTTTGTAATTACCTATTTACAAAGGGCATCGGGGAACAAGCCTGGGAAAACTGCCCCAGGCGATATTGAAAAATTTTAGATGAGGATTGGTAGATAGGAACCTAATCGATAAGAATTCCAATTTTCAAATATTTTGATCCGCTGGTTTACGATTAATCTGCCGCAACTAAAGTACATATCACTTGATGTATCTTCCCTTCGGTGATTCTTGAGAAAACTTTTTTGATGCCAATAATTTTTGTGTTAACCTTCAAGAATGTCAGCCAATCCTTGGATTTTTACCATTCTTATGAGCTACCAAAAATCGCGATTCAAATTTTCAAAAAATTGGTTCAAGACTTTCCAAGTCTGACAACACCGCCAGTTTTTTACAGTTTGTGTGCCCTATAACCATCTACTTCATATAAAATATTCATAATTTTTCGTGTGGTGCAACAGTGTTAAACAAACAAAAAACTGAAGAATTTATTTCTGGAAGGGTAGGAATGGAGTCAATAAAATATATTTGGCTTGTAAATAGTTAGTTCTTAGACCAGAATTATTATCAAAGAGTAAAATTTTTAATATTATGGGTGAAAAGTGGTCCGAATTATAAAATGTTTGGCATGTATTTGATTGTAATTGATTTAATAGGGACCCAGTCCCAGTCTAGTCACCACAGCTTCGAATTTCATATCCGCCCTGAACAGAGATTTCATAAGAAATCCTTTGAGCATGGATGACCAACAAATACTTTATTTATGTGATTCTAAAGAAATCGCGGTCCAAAGAGGATTATTTAATTTGCGATCCTTTCGGTACCATTGTTATTCTAAAAAGCAGTATAGTAATTTGAAAGCTTTAATATGCGGAGCACGATAACAATTTGTTAACAAATTCGCGCAATAACAACGGTGCCGAAATCTCGCATATTAAATAATCCTCTTTGGACCGCGATTTCTTTAGAATCACATAAATAAAGTAATTGTTGCTCAAAGGATTTCTTATGAAATCTCTGTCCAGGGAGGATATGAAATTCGAAGCTGTGGGGACTAGACTGGGACTGGGCCCCTATTAAATCAATTACAAGCAAATACATGCCAAACGTTTTAAAATTCGGACCACTTTTCACCCATAATATTAAAAACTTTACTGTTTGATAATAATTCTGGTCTTAGAACTAACTATTTACAAGCCAAATATATTTTATTGACTCTATTCCTACCCTTCCATAAATAAATTCTTCAGTTTTTTGTTTGTTTAACACTGTTGCACCACTCGAAAAATTATGAATATTTTATATGAAGTAGATGGTTATAGGACTCACAAACTGTAAAAAACTGGCGGTGTTGTCAGACTTGGAAAGTCTTGAACCAATTTTCTGA